TCTCTCACTTATCAATTACTGTATTTTTACAGTTCAATTGACAGTTGGTGTACAAATCCAATTTGTGCATCATCACTTTCAAATGCTATATTTACATATTTGATTGCACAAAATCTATTCAATAGTTATTGCATCTGAGTATTGTCATGTTCAAATCTTTTTATGATCTCATCATAGTTATTTGAGTTTCATCGATGAAATATATCAATTGAACGTGACTTTGGCATTGATAATCCATGCTAGTAATAGTATACTTCAAGCTAATACCGTTTATTATAAAACTCCATCTACGGTTATAATAACTCACAATGATTTGTAATATTCTTTTTTTTTTTTACTATTATTTTGTTTTGTCATGGAATTTCCAAAGGGATATTTTGTTAGAAAATAATGTGTTTGCAAAAATCCATAAATAACATCATAATTTATCTAAACTAAATTCAAATGTTATAATGATTGCAACATCGAAAACTGACACCCGATGTGAAGAAGTGATTGAAGTTTCATTTCTACCTTCGAAATATTTTTCTTGGCATCCATTGAATTTAAGCATGGTAAGTGACCTTATATACCTAGTGAATTTAGATTGGTTTACAATTAGTTTCAAATTGAACGTAGAAATTATTGTTTCAATCCATAGAATCACTCTTGTTTTGATCTTTGAAAAAAGTTTTTAGACTGGAAATTTTTTTCTTATAATACTGTAAGAGTCATGCTATAGGCATTGTTGACAAAAACCCATTGGTACTCGAAAGTTGGATGTGAAATCAGTTTTTTGTTGAAAAAATCGTAAGGTATTGTCCTCTAAGCGCCCTCTTAGCACGATCAATGCTCTCAGCGCTCGAGCAATCATGTTTTTATTCTAAAGACCAATCTCGCTTAGGACAAACAATTTGTCGAGATTCCATAGATTTTAGGTTTTTATGTGGATTCTAATTTCTTCTTATTTATGGTATGTTTTTATTCATTCAAAAGAGTTACAAATCAAAGATTTTCGGAGAGAGAATATTAAAGAGGAAAAACTCTAGCCTGCCAAACACAAAGACATATGACTACTTGGTTAGATCTAGAGTTTGCTCATAGATTAGTCATGAAATAGAGAGTTTCCCACAAAAGCATTTTGTTTTGATAGATTCCAATTGAAGTTCAATGAGGAGGATTCTTTGAACAAGTGCAAGAAGGATCGTGGATTTGACTCATGGAGAGCAATCATAAAGTGTTGAAGAGCTTTGTGATTTGCTTTTTAATTACAGATTCAAATATGACTATAAATTTAAATACGACGAATAACCTAATCAAATTTTGATTAGCGTTTTTAAAATGGATATGAATTTAAGTCGAATCGAAATTCAATTCAATTCAGTTCGTTGACAGGTCTATTTCTAATTGTTCGCAGTTTCGATATATCTTGATTATTATCGTTGAATAAATGTTCTACAATATAATGGTTGTCCCCTCTCATTGAGAAATTCTGCTCTGACCTAATAACACAGTAGTATTCAGTGCTAATGAGTGTTGGAGATGAAATAAAGGACGGTTGGGTCCCGTAGACCATATATATAGAAAGGAAAATGTTTGTGAGGATATGAAAAGATGTTTCAGCTGGGAAAAAAAAAAAATCACACCTCATCCTAAATCAAGTATTCTTCAAACAATCACAACTATGGAACAAGAAAATTTTTAACAAGACCCAAGAGGAAACGTATAAACAAAATAAACCTTTCAGTATAAGTGTAGGGGCGGCCAGACATATAATGGGGGTCTAAAGTGAAAATTTAAGTGATGTCATATTAATTTTAATAAAAATTTTAAAAATTAAATTATTATATAATAATTTTATATTATTGTCTTTTGAGATGTAAACGTATGTATTAGATTTTTGTATCTAAGTATTGTTTAGGAAATATAGTCTTTCATTTTCTTACCTGATACTTTGCGGATGAATTTTTTTTTGATCTATCCTACCCAGTCAAGCGTAGTATTCATATCCGACTTCCTACCGGATTAATCGTGTAAGAAGTCGGATAAACATTATTTTTTTTGGATTATTTTAATAATTCAATTAAATATCATGCATCAATTTAACAACACAATAAATCAATAACACTAAAACATAAAATAACTACAACAACAATTACAATAAAACATAAGAAAGTAGGAATATCAATCCATCATAATTATTACACAAATACAATAACAATTATTTTAAGTTTTAAATATATAAAACACATTAAAATCATAACTGCTCCAATAGATAACCAATTCACAACAAATTATGTAACCTACACAAAAAATAAGTTCATAGTTTCGCAATTCAAATATCCACAATAATGACAATACTATAATATAAATTATACACACAAATACTCTTATAATTATTAAAAAAAAATAAATAAGTTAAATATATTTTTTACGAGTAAAGTAGAGTAGGAATGCAGAAATTGATAGATATTCCGCATTCCTATCTGATTTATTCGGAAGACCAAAAATTTTTTTGCATTTCTACCCGATTTTTGTGGTTAACAGTTCAGTAGAGTAGAATAGAATCGAGTAGAGTAGAAAATTATGACCAATCGAAAATTTGAACACCTCTAATATTGTTAACATATATTTAAGATCGTTAAATTGAAACGGTACTAATTTCTTTGTCTATCAATTCTTAAAAGCCCTAAAAAATTAATTTGGGTTTGATTGACTATTAGTATTCAATTTTTATTTAAGGCTTTAAAAATAAATTTGGGCTTAATTTAATTGAGCCTCAAATTCTTTGGGGGTCCTAAAAATAAAAGTGGACTTATTTGAATATGAGTTTTAAAAATTGTATTCAGGGCCTAAAAATAAAATTAGACTTAATGGAACATGTGGGTAAAAATTTTATTTGGGGTACTAAATATAAATTAGACTTAATTAAATATTTTCTAAAAATTTTATTTGAAATTTTAAAAATAACATTAATTTTTTTTTAACCTCCTTAAAACAAGGCCCTAAAAATTCGGGGGCCCAAAGCAGCGGCATCAATGACTAAGTCATTGAGCCAGCCCCGAGTGTAAGTTTGAATGAGGCCCATTCTTTTAGATCTTAAATTCAATTAATTTTCCCAGTGTGCACAAATCGGTTGCATCCGAAGATTGAGATGATTTTCTACTCTAAAAAATAGTGAACTCAAAAACAGTGAAAAAATATTGAACTAAAAAATAGTTTACCACAACATACTATCCAAAATTTAATCAAAATAACAAATGTGAAATAGTGAAATTTATCTAATTTTAATGTTTAGAACAATGAAAATTGAATTTATTTCTTTTTTTAGGTCATTAAAATTGGAACTTAATTTACCTAATTTACTTGACGTTAAAATATACAATTTTTAAACAATAAATTTGATCTAATATTAATGTCTCATGCAATAATAATTTTATTTTACTGTTTTGATCATTAAAATTGAGACTGCACAACCAGCCACACAAATAATCCTCCATTTGGTACGATAAAAAAATTAAATGACGAAAAGTTAAAAGGATAGATAAAATATCATATTTGATAAGGAAAGAAAATAGAAAGGATGAAAAAATAAAGGGATAAATTTTTCTTTTAACTCACCAAAATCAATCACTCTAAAATTAGACAGAAAAGGAAGAAAAATGACATTCACGTTGGATAAAAATATGTTATTTATGTTTTTAACCTTTAACTAATTGTGTTTATTTTTTATTTAAAAATCTAATAAAAAAATATATGTATTTTTATTTGATTTGTGTTTGTTAAAACACATGACACGTATACTATAGTGGTATGGTGCATAATATATACACTGATCTCATATAAAGATAAAATAATAAATCATGTATGTATATTATTTTTATTCTTCTATTTTTTTCATTAATATCAAATACAAAAAAATTAATTATTTCTACTTTTCATCAATTCTACCAAATACGGACATTTTTATTTTTTTTTTTAAAAAAATATAAAATATATTTCTCGTACTTTTTATCCCTCCTATTTTTTATGTTTCTTACCAAACAAAACATAAGAATTTTGCATAGTAGAGGCGAGGGCTTCGCAACCAGCAGTAGAGTACCGGTAGATCAAGAAAATCAACAGCCAGCAGACCAGTGTAAAAAATCGACACAAGCCAGTGAGAAATTCACAAGGCCAAAAGAGAAATCATCAAGTTTCGGGCACAGCACTCCTCAGGATGTTTCGACTCACTCAACCAAGCATCAATAACCCTAATTCGCACCTGGTCGGAGAGATTGGAAAAGAAAACTCGAAGAAATGTCGCCGATTTGCAAAAATGGCAAAAAAATACTTCAAAATTCTTATTTAAATCCTAAATCCAATCAAGAGACCATGAAATCAAAAACAAATACCATCAGATTAGAGCCCATCGTTCAACTACTTGTTATCATTACAATTAGCAGCACAATCTTTAAGGTCAAAACCATGGTCAATTTGGAATTGAATTTCCTTGAAACATTTTCGGCACCACGAATCATTAATAATCTCATCCTCAGTGATTCGATGTTGATTCACCATCCACGAACTGTTGATTCACGGGATCTCATTGTCATATTCACTAGTACTTTGGTGGTGATTTGATGACAAATTACTCTAACAGAGTCTGTAGCTATGACTAATTGAACATTTTACATCTAGGGAGACCCTTATTGTCACGGCCAGAGGAGGGTCACTACCTACTGGTCGCCCTCTCCCTTATTTTATTTTTCAAAAACAAAAATGAAATACAATTTTTAAAAAAATGGTCAAGTCTTAAACAATTGGCTCTAATTGCCTGGTACGAAATGAAAGTACTATACGTTTTTCTTTTATTTCTGTCAATGAATAAGAATGTAATGTTCACGCTCATAATTAAAGACAGTTCACTTTACAAGACTTCTATTATTATGTAATATAAAAAGCATTAAATGTACATAATCCTATCCCGAAATCTACTCTAATTTGATTCAGATGGTCCTTCTAGACGGATATAGTTATACATGTGTCCTTTCCAAGGGATTTTGCCTCTCGACTGTTTCAGAAAGATTGTATTGTTTCCATTGTGAAGTATACTGCCAGGTACATCCACTGAATAACCAATGTAACCCATGAATCCCGTCTCTGGCAATGGCCTTTTCCTTGCCGATAGCCTCGGTTGTGAAGTGTGGGTCTTTCGTCTCCCTGTCGTTTATCCGAACCTGAAAAATTCATTAGAACATCGATTAATAAAATAATCTATCGAATTATTCTGTTTTATAATTTGAACGTGAAAAACTTATATACTTGCAATTCTGCTTCTTTAGCCAATGCCAGTTGGAGACTATAATTTTTCAGACTCATCAATGTTTTCGAGATCAAATAAAATTTGCCACGTCGACCGTATAGAAGTTATAGGGTTAATTATAAATTATATCGCAAAAGATTGAATTTCAATTTATACTTTCAAAAATTAAAATTTTCAATTGGTACCTTCAAATATATAAATTTGTATCTGATGGTGCTCAGAAATACCTGGCCCAGGTGCAGAACCGTGGGCTTGAGACTCGATGGTGGGGGTAATGCGGATATCTAGATTAACAAGGAAGAAAGGAATGAAGTTGGATCAAGACAGCATATAAGTGGTTCACATTAACCAAAAGCTCAATGCTACATCCACAATAATAGAAAATCTTACTTGTTGGGGCTGTTTGTTTTAAGTATTAGAGTAGTATAAAGAGGTGGTATTAGGAAAATAGTACGTGAGACCCATCTTATACGTTATTTATTTGACATTTTATAGTCAGTGCTATTTTTCGGTTCGTAATACCGACCCGCTATGAACAGTAGTCATAATACCTTGTAGAAGGTCTTAATGAATACCACATAAGGAGTGGTATTATATTCTTGATATAGGTATTATAAACTAAAAAGACAAAAATACCCTCTGGTACAATTCCCATATAAAAGCCTAGTCGCAATTTTTGACTTTTTAAATGTTAAAATTATCTTTTACATTGGTGAGCCACAATTGTTGATTTTTTTAAGTAGGTATTACACATATAATATTTGTGATAAACAAATAAGGAGAAATATGAGATTATAGTTTAACATCGGGTATAATATACTATTGGATTGGAGTGAAATGAATATAAAATTTTATACCACCTAAATTTTATACTCAAAACAAACATGCCCCTTAAGACTTATATTACTTGGAGAAGTAGGTTATAGTAGGTTTTCTGGGCTTAGAGTGCCTTGTAAATATAGATTTCTTCGAACCATTTACATAGCGTGATAGTATTCTTTTTATACAAGTAATTTGAAGGGATCGATAAATTTTTATCATCACTTGGCAATTAGACTTGGGCACGTGGCAGGTTGCATGTGTTGAAAGTAGTTATTTGGAACGACTGTATTACAACCGAGCAGATAGCTAGGCTATCCTAATTGAGTTAAAATTGAACCGACCTAGTAAAGGATAAAACTCGACCAAACAGATAACTAGGCTATCCCAAGTGAGCTAAAATTGGTCCAACCTAGTAGAGGATGAAACTCGACCGAACAGACAGTTAGGTTGCCCCAGCCGAGCAGAGGATAAGATCCGACAGTCGAGCTGATCAGAAAGCTCGAAAATGAAGGAATGAGCTCGGCCCTCGTCTAGATTGAACTGATTGAAATGAAGGAAAGATAAAGATTCACTAAAAACTTAGGAGTCCAAGATAAACTCATAAGCTTAATTGTAGGCCAAGGGAACTACCAGAGATATTTCAGCAGTTTTTCAAACTGAATCACTTAATTGAAAAAAGATGTGTCACTTTGAATTGAAATTAATAGAAACCCTAATTGAACAGGGGTCTATAAGAAGCAAAAGGAGTCAAGGTAAAAGGTACGCTGAACTCTCTTTGTCTTCTTAGAATTGTCTCAATTCCATTATTAATTTAAGCATCAGAGTACTTTCGACCTTGGGCAGTTTATTCGTTTTGTAGGAAGCAAAGACTGTGAGATTAAGTTCAGAGCTCACTCTTATTAGAGACGTTCATTCTTTATTTTTCTAGGAGGTATCCTCAAGTTTTACCCCTTACATTTTTGTGTTGTCCGTGGAAAACGAAGCAAACATGTACGCTCCAAATTCTTTGTATCTCCGGTCCGTGAGTGCTCTCCAAACCTTGTTATGATTTGTGCACCCTTGCACCTATGGATCTGTTGTTTATGAAGCTCGGACTCAATTTTTTTTCGTTCATGGGTACTCGGCCTTTTTTGCAAATGGGTTTAGTTTTATAAGTCCAACCTTGCAAAACCCCACCACAAAGATATGGTATAAAAAATATGTTAGCAACTTTTCACATGGGCATGCATGGACTTTTACAGTCAGTTGTCTTGACTTGTCCACCATGTTGGGAAAATAGGCTTTCCCACAAGTGTAAATCAATGGAAGCAATATAAATAAAATAACAGAAAATAAATAAGCACACAAGATTTACGTGGTTCCCTCAAATAACTTGAGGTACATCCACGACGACCGGTAGGTCAGTTTCTTCCACTATCACCAAATCAGATTACAAAGTGGCCAAAAGGCATAAGCCTTACAAACACACCAAGGTGTAAATCACAAGAGGAAAATACCTCACAAAATAAGTGAACCAAATCTCCAAGAACAAACCGCAAGAAACCCAAATATCAAGTGAAGAAATGTTACCCACTTGAAGAACAAATTTGCAGATTTTTCTGGCACCAAAAAAGGAGAAGAAGAAGGCTGAATTTTTGTTGAACCAAAGACTGCCGAAAAATATGTCTTCTTGCCAAACCAACCGAGAATAGATGAACCAAAGAAAAGGACAAAACTTATAGTCTTTGATGGCTATCAAATTCCTTTTTAACTAGAAGACTCCAAACCAAGTCTTGGATAAGAGTCCTACACGGGTAAGCCACCAAAAAATTAGCAAATTGATGAGTCCCACAAAGGAGGGAAACCCAACAATTCTCCCCCTCCCGACTTATGTAGAGGATTCGACCATTCCCGCCAAAAGTCGACACTTCTCATGCTTGTCCTTAGTCAATGCCTTAGTTAACATATCCGAAGTGTTATCATCAGTGTGAATTTTTTCAAGTTGTAACAACTTATCATTCAAGACATCACGAATCCAATGATATCTAACATCAATATGTTTCGATCTCGAATGAAATGAAGAATTCTTGCTCAAGTGGATTGCACTCTGACTATCACAATGAAGGACATACCTTTCTTGTTTCAAACCCAACTCTTGTAAGAATTCCTTCAACCACAATAATTCTTTGCAAGCTTCAGTGATAGCGATGAACTCAGCTTCTGTGGTGGAGAGAGCAACACATTTCTGTAATCTTGATTGCCATGCCACTGCTCCCCCTGCAAAAGTAATCAAATAACCAGAAGTAGATTTTCGACTATCAACATCACCAGCCATATCAGAATCTGTGAACCCATCAAGAATAGGCTCGCCTTTACCAAAACACAAACTCATCTTTGAAGTGCCCTGAAGATACCTCATAATCCATTTCACTGCTGCCCAGTGTTCTTTCCCTGGATTAGACAAAAATCGACTGACAACCCCAACTGCGTGAGCAATATCCGGTCGAGTACAAACCATGGCGTACATCAAAGAACCAACTGCTGAAGCATAGGGAATTTTCTGCATCTCATTTTTTTTTTCATCACTTGTAGGACACTGACTTGAGCTTAGTTTGGAGTGGCCTGCAAGTGGACAATTAACAGGCTTTGCTTTGTCCATATTGAACCTCTCAAGAACCTTTTTAATATAATTCTCTTGAGATAACCAAATCAGCCCATGTGATCTGTCACGAACAATTCTCATCCCAAGAATTTGCTTTGCTGGACCCAAATCCTTCATGGCAAAGGACTTACTCAACTCTGACTTCAACTTGCTAATCTTACTCGTGTCTTGGCCCACAATAAGCATATCATCAACGTAAAGCAAGAGAATAATAAAATTACCATCTTTATATTTCTTCACAAACACACAATGGTCTGAAGTGGTTCTTGAATACCCATTCTCACTCATGAAAGCATCGAATTTTCTGTACCACTGCCTCGGTGCTTGCTTCAATCCATACAAGCTCTTCTTCAATTTGCAAACTAACTGATCATTACCCTTATCTTTGAAGCCCTCAGGTTGCTCCATATAAATTTCCTCTTCTAAGTCACCATGCATAAATGCGGTCTTCACATCAAGCTGCTCAACTTCTAAATTCATACTCGCAGCTATACCAAGCACAGTTCGAATGGAGGACATCTTCACAACTGGTGAGAAAATCTCATCAAAATCAACTCCCTTTCTCTGATCAAAACCTTTCACGACAAGTCGTGCCTTGAATCTCGGTTGAGAACTGTTCCCATCATTCTTTCGTCTGAAGACCCATTTATTTTTCAAAATTTTCTTCCCTTTAGGCGGCTTCACCAAATCATAGGTGTGATTTCATGCAAAGACTTCATTTCCTCTTTCATTGCCTTGAACCATTCAGTTTTGTTCTCATGTTTCAAGACTTCTTGATAAGTCCCTGGCTCCCCCTGATCTGATATCATCACATACTCATTTGAAGAATATTTTCTGGATGGCTGTTTTTCTCTAGTAGATCTCCTTAACGGTGTCTGTGGTAGTGGCTCTTGGGGTGGTTGCTCCCCCTCAATCTCTAGCTCAACATCATCTTCTGCTGCATCATCATGAGGTGTTTGCACTTCCTCATCAATATCATGAACAACAGAGGGATTGAGAGGATCTAAATCAACAAGATCATCAGTACTAGACTCAGCTGACTCAAGCTTGTCGATGTCTTCAATAGTCTGATCTTCCAAGAAAACAACATCTCGGCTTCTGACAACTTTCTTGTCAACTGTATCATACAACCTGTATCCAAATTCTTCATGCCCATAGCCAAGAAATATGCATTGTTTTGCTTTTGGATCAAGCTTGGACCTTTCATCTTTTGTAATATAAACAAAAGCTCTGCAGCCGAATACCCTCAAGTGATCATAGGAGACTTCCTTCCCTGTCCAAACTTTCTCTGGCACATCACCATTCAACGGAACTGAAGGAGACAAATTGATAAGATCAACTGCGGTCCTCATTGCCTCACCCCAAAAGGATCTTGACAATTTAGAATGTGAGAGCAAACATCTAACTCTCTCAAGAATGGTGCGATTCATTCTCTCTGCAACCCCGTTCTGTTGAGGTGTCCTTTTAACTGTTTTTTCATGCCTGATACCATGATTTGTGCAATACTGATCAAATGGTCCAATATATTCACCACCATTATCCGAGCGAACACATTTCAACTGTCTACCTGTTTCTCTTTCAACCTTGGCCTGAAAAATCTTAAACACATCTAGAACTTGATCTTTAGTTTTCAGTGTATAAGCCCAAACTTTTCTAGAGTGATCATCAATAAAAGTGACAAAGTATAGAGCACCACCAAGTGTCCTAACTTTCAAAGGACCACATACATCAGAATGTACCAAATCTAAAACATGAGATTTTCTAGATGCAATGTTTCTACGGAATGATATTCTGTTTTGTTTACCATGGAAACAATGAACACAAGTTTTCAAAGGCGTACCTTTTATCCCCACTAGAAGCTCTTTCTTGGACAAAACTTGCAATCCTTTTTCACTCATATGTCCAAGCCTTCTATGCCATAAATCAGTGGATGAGTCATTCTCTAAGGTATTCACAACACCCTTGCAGATTTTTGCTTGCATAGTGTAAAGAGAACAAGTCTTCTTTCCTTTTGCTACCACTAGAGAACCTTTGGAGAGTTTCCATTTTCCATTACTGAAATTGTTGATGTAGCCTTCATCATCTAACTTTCCAGCAGAGATTAAATTGAGTCGAATATCTGGTACATGCCTCACATATCTAAGCAGCAATTTGCATCCAATATTTGTTTCCAAGCAAATGTCACCCATGCCGACAATTTTTGACACATCTTCATTTCCCATACGGACATTCCCAAAATCACCTTGTGAGTAAGAAGTAAAGAAATCAGCCCGCGAAGTAACATGAAATGAAGCTCCAGAATCAATTACCCAATCCGTCTCTTGGCCAATCAAATTAACGCTAGCATCATCACGGATAATCATGTGTTCATCATCGGTAACTACAGCTGTATCAATTTGCTTTTTCTCTGAATTTTTCTCTTTGTTCTGCTCCTTGAACTTGAGTTTTCTACATTCCCGCTTCATGTGCCCTTTCTTGTGACAGTAATAGCATTCAACATCCTTTTTTGACATCGAGCTTGAACGACCTCTAGATTTATCACGGTTGTGCGGAACCCTACTCTTACTCCTGCCTCTCCCCCGGTTTTCCATTACAAGTGCCTCGGAGTAAGAAGAACCTGATGATTTTCTTCTTGTTTCTTCATTCAACAAACTGCTGGTAACTTGACTCATTGTTACCACTCCATCAGGTGCGGAGTTACTAACTGTGACCACCAAAGTTTCCCAGCTTTCGGGAAGTGAACTAAGAAGTAACAAAGCTTGCAACTCATCATCAAAAGTAATTTTCATGGCGGCCAACTGATTCACAATGCTCTTAATCTCATTCAAATGCTCTGCAATAGAAGTACCCTCCTTATATTTAGAGTTCACAAGCTTTCGAAATAAAAAGGCTTTATTCACTGCCGTCTTTCTATCATACAAACTCTCCAATTTGGTCCAAAGACCATGTGCAGATTTTTCTGTAGAGACATGATGAAAGACACTATCATCAATCCATTGCCGAATAAAACCGACAACTTTCCGGTCTAGCTTTTTCCACTCGTCATCTTTCATCCCTTCCGGTTTGCCACTATCACCCTCTATGGGTCCATTCAAATCTTTACAAAATAAAAGATCTTCCATTTTAGTTTTTCAAGTCACCCAATTTGTGTCATTGAAACTAACCATACGTCCAACGTTGCTGTCCATAATTCACACACAGAAATATAACGAATCGGAACCGAATTAACCAATTGCTCTGATACCAGATGTTGGGAAAATAGGCTTTTCCACAAGTGTAAATCAATGGAAGCAATATAAATAAAATAACATAAAATAAATAAGCACACAAGATTTACGTGGTTCCCTCAAATAACTTGAGGTACATCCACGACGACCGGTAGGTCAGTTTCTTCCACTATCACCAAATCAGATTACAAAGTGGCCAAAAGGCATAAGCCTTACAAACACACCAAGGTGTAAATCACAAGAGGAAAATACCTCACAAAATAAGTGAACCAAATCTCCAAGAACAAACCGCAAGAAACCCAAATATCAAGTGAAGAAATGTTACCCACTTGAAGAACAAATTTGTAGATTTTTCTGGCACCAAAAAAGGAGAAGAAGAAGGCTGAATTTTTGTTGAACCAAAGACTGCCGAAAAATATGTCTTCTTGCCAAACCAACCGAGAATAGATGAACCAAAGAAAAGGACAAAACTTATAGTCTTTGATGGCTGTCAAATTCCTTTTTAACTAGAAGACTACAAACCAAGTCTTGGATAAGAGTCCTACACGGGTAAGCCACCAAAAAATTAGCAAATTGATGAGTCCCACAAAGGAAGGAAACCCAACACACCAGTGCAATGGGGGCATTCTGCTACTGCAAAGATCCTTTCCCATCAACATCGGTAAAACCAAGACGGAGGCTTTTTAATTGTTCACGGGATCTCTTCGCCTTTGGTCGCTCCACGACGTTTCGGACTGAACCGACGCTCGACATTCACTATTGATATTTCGAATATTAACGGAGCCCGGAATATCTCACTATGTTATGTCCTTGTGCACTGCGTTCGGCAAATGCAGAGTTGTTGCAGAGCTAATTTCTGGGTGGCGAACTCGACTAGTCTGTCTCGTTCTCATTGACCGTCGAGGTGTTCATGGTGCTCGGCAGCTCGCTCCCCCACTGATTCTGATTTCAATGTCTTCAAGCACGCCAAGAATCTGATGATGATCAATACCTATCAAGGGCGAAAAGTTTGTTTTTAGAAGTAAAAGATAAACCAAGACAAAGTACCTTGCGATTTGCTCGGTCTCCTGATCCCTTTTGGACTTCTAAGCAACTCTCGGCAATCACCGGAGTCTTTCATGGTTTTGGACTGCATATTCAGTGATTATGCGGAAATCTAATCGGCAGAATATCACCATGAAAACCTCACAAGGATCTGATTGGTCACAAGCATTATTCCCCAAAAGTTAAGACTTTCTTATTCTATTCATGGAAACTTGGTCTTTGTACCATATGGATTGGTGGCATCCTGATGCTTCAACTTTTCCTCGTGAACATGCTATAAAAACTTTTATATTGAGTTTTGTTAACTCGTCCTTTAGTGCAAAAGGATATTCTCCCGTTGTGATGATTCCCTCCTTTTCAAAGCCGAAAATTTTCACTCTTGAGGAGTGAAAGGCAGACCAAATTAAATGAGTTCCCTCTTCATTTGTTTGGTCCCTTCTTACATGACATCCATATTGCTCGGTCCCAGCTTCTTGACCCATTGCAACACAAAGCGTAGCTCGTTATTAGAAAGCTCTTGGGCAGCTCCCAGCTACCAATGGAGCCCTTATTGTTCTGGACTGCGTATTCGATATTCACTTGGAGTTTTAATCGGTGGAGTCTACAAGCCGACGATAATAATGATACACCTCTCCATTATTGAAGAATCAAAAGATCCAAGAGTTGTGAAGTTCCTTGGCCACAAAAAGGTGCTTCACTTATAACCACCTACCTGGCTTGATCTCTTTGCATTTGCTTGACCCATGAAGCTCGGCATCTTTGTTATGTTGGTGCAGCTTGGCATAAACTCGTGGCTATTTCGTATGCTATCCATGGTGAGATATCTCGTGTTTGTGCGAGAGTTCCGCAAATGTAAAGCCAGCAGATTAGTATATCACCACAAATCTGTTCAACACAACCAAAGAGGTTTGCCCTTCATTGCTGCTCCGTCCTACAATACCGGGCATGTGCGAATCTATCAAGGCACACGGAGATTGGGCTCCTTCTATGTATCTCACACTCAGGAGTCCACAAAATGCAGAGATAAGTGCCGTTCTCTTATACTTCAACCAAAACCGAATAATACTCTGTCCATCACCATATGATGCATATAAGTACTCGTGATAATGATTTCAATTAATGCATGTGATTGTTATAGCTTCCTATGGAAGACCTCCTGGACACTATCACAAAGCATGTAGGTCATCTGCTCAGTCTTTCTTCTAATCTTTTCCTTTGGCTTTTGAAATGAGTCGAGTGGTCTCTCGCTCTCTCTTCCCCCACTGCCAGCACGAGTCAAGTGCAAAACCCAAAGTAAAAAACTAGTCCCAAGTCATTCTTATTTGTGAGACCCACATGTTAAGATTGACAGGATGAGTTTGCATATAAGCAAGGACTTGTATGACTGCTATGTTGTGCCCTTGAGAATAGCTACGCCACGTGTAGTAATGCATGTAAACACAAGTACTTAAATGGAAAAAATCATGACACTTGTATGTGGATCTAGTACAAAAACAATTCTTCATGAATCTAGAAAAGTATAGATGATCAATTTCACATGTTGTGACTAACAATAAACAGAGAGAAGCATGCATCTGTTTTTGCTTTCTCCGTATTGCAAGGCTCACAGTGTTGAGCTCAATTGGTTTTTGCCTCCCCGTGGTCTGTGCAACCTGAGGATGGTCGGAAAATACAAGCAGAATCCTTTGAATGGTCTAAACATAAAGCCAGCAACCTCAGCACACCATCTCTCTGGGTTTTCCTTAGTCACAATAGGGTGTATCATTTTGAATCCCTCTCGGCGGTACGAATGCAACTCTTGGTCGCTTGGCCTAATGCCCACTGCTGGTGGTGGTTGATCTCACTTCTTGGACACTGTTCCGAAGCAATCAATGATTGTAAAACCAGACTCGGCAAACCATGAATTAATTAGTCGAGGTGATCGGCAGACATCCTCTAATCGAATGAAGTACCTAGAGGATCTCGACGTCGCATGCAGTAAATGAGAACTATTATTTCAAGTCTGAGAAAAGGATTTTTAGCTTTCTTTTGGGCATACATTAGTCATTATTAATTGCTTTAAAGAAATCCAGCAAAGGTCTTCAGTCAGCATCATTATTTGAATCTCGGCTTCTTGGATGATCAGCTTCTCTACCTCGCCATTCAAAGATAGTTGGGTTGGCAGGAGCCAAGGATAATTCTGTCAACCTACGAACTAATGCTTTGGCAACAACTTCAATGGAGCCCAAGAAGCTAGTCGATCTATTCCCAAATAGTGGATTGATTTTAACTAGCAACTGATAATCAGCGTCAACGAAGAACATGATCGGTGTCACCATAAAAACCCAAGAGGGGTCTAGGTAGTAGTGAATGATCACACAGGTGATCGGGCTTTCACTAAAGATTGGTTCCCCATAGAGCCATCTTAAAGCACACCGTCAAGGACCATTCTGTCAAGACAAAAGTCCCACTCGGCTCTCTTGCCTTGAAAGTCTTTTGACGTGTGGCATCCGCTCCTCATCTCGAAATGGGCAAACATGCTCGACACCACCTAGAAGCTGTTCGGCACCAATACGTCGGTGCCATCAGGTGAAAGCAGAATTGCAGCCCAGTCTCTTCATAGTATCTTGCCACCTGTGGTGAGAATCTGCTGACTAGAGCAAAAAGGGAATATATTCTGGACATTCTATAAATATGAACCCCTGAAGTTTTTCTTCGACCTCGGCTGTGCTGTTTTGAACGAGAAAAAGGATTTGCGTGGTGAGTTTTAACTGCCACACTCGGATCTAAGCAGTTCAAACTTAGTAAAGATCTCTCTATTACGGATGCTTCAAAAGACATCGAGGGCGAGAGTTTGGACTAGCGGAGTATCAATTCAATCTCTATCAAAGCTAAAGACATCACAAATGGGTTTCGCTTCAGCAAAGACAGCGATAATGCCCAGTTTCCAAGGATGTTCTCATTTGGACATTTGACTGACCTCACCTTGCCTCAAGTCAATATGTTAATCGATAGAAACTACAAGTTAAAATAAGAATCGACGTTCTTTTATAAATGATATGCCTAAGCTCTTGTGTTGGGATTATGGATGCTATATCACTTCAAGGGAGTGCTTCCCATATACAGACATGATTGAGTTTTTGACTTATGCCTTCAGCGGAGTACCTCCCACAAAGGAATAAGATTGAGCTTCAAAGCTAATCTTTTTGTGGAGTACCTACCACAGGAAAGATGTCTAATGGCGGAGTACCTCTCGCGAATAAATAAGATTGAGCCATAAAACTAATTTTTGTGGAGTACTTGCCACATCAAAGACCTGAGAAGGCTCGGGCATAGGCCAACCTACTGCAAAGGCAAGGAGAAAAAAATCTTGATAGAGGCAGAGACCTAGCTCAGGTGCAACCATCCGATCAAACCTAGGTTCATGGCTAGGCACGACGGTGTAAGACAAATGCGTAAAGTTTGAAGACCGATTACACTGGCAGATCAGTGCAAGGGTCACAATAAGTGACCAAGAACTGATGCTTGAACCCTTCAGCGAGGTAGGTCCTCTTGGCTAAGGGAGGGGGGCACAGAAAAGGCATTTTCATAAGAAACAATACAAGGCAATTAATGAAAGAAATGATTGTAGACAAAGAATATCTCTTAGTGTGCCACATGAAAAATATTCTTTGGGGGCAAATGAAGGGGTTGATAAATTCTTATCGTCATCTGACAATTAGACTTGGGCATATGGCAGGTTGCATGTGTTAAAAATAGTTATTTGGAACAATTGTACTACGACTAAGCAGATAGCTAGGCTATCTCGACCGAGCTAAAATTGGCCCAACCTAGCAAAGGATAAAACTCGACCGAACAAATAGCTAGGCTATCCTGGCCGAGCTAAAATTGGTCCAACCTAGTAGAGGATGAAACTCGGCCAAACAGATAGCTAGGTTGCCCCGGCCGAGCAGAGAATAATATCCGACAGTCGAGCTGATCGAAAAGCTCGAAAATGAAGGAATAAGCTCGACCCTCGTCATGATCGAACTGTTTGAAACAGTAAATGGAAAGATAAAGATTTGCCAAAAACTTATGCGTCCAAGATAAGCTAATAAGCTTAATTGTAGGCCAAGGGAGCTGCCATAGAGATTTCAGCAGCTTCCCAAACTGAATCTCTTAATTTAAGGAAGGTGTGCCACCTTGAATTGAAATTCATGGAAACCCTAACTGAACAAGGGTCTATAAAAAGCAAAAGGAGTCAAGCTGAAAGGTACGTTGAACTCTCCTTATCTTCTTGCAATTGTCTTAGTTCCATTATTGACTTAAGCATCGGAGTGCCTTCGATTGAATCACTTCGATCTTGAGTAGTTTATTCGTTTTGCAGAAAGCAAAGATTGGGAGATCAAGTTTAGAGCTCACTCTTATCAGAAACGTTCATTCTTTATTCTTGTAGGAGGTATCCTCAATTTATACTCTTTTCATAATTAATCTATAGTTTTTTTATGGCTTTTTCCTTCCTTTTGCTGATTCTGTGGTCCCCTTTTCCTTTGTCTTATAGTGATACATGCCACCCTGACGCAAATCGTGCCTTCAATCCTTAAATGGAATGTGCACCAATATTTCATTTTCCAAAAAGTACGTGTTCGTTAGTGACTCCAAAAACTATCCCCTGGTCACGAGTATCGAGCTTTTTGTTCTCGAGCTAGATGTGGCCGAGTAAGATCATACCAACCTGTATGTCACTGGACCCTCTTCTTTGGATTATGACTCATTCTTACAACGGGGTGAACAGGCTGCAGATGGGTCGTTCGGCTGCCATGTAACCAAGGGGGCCCATTGGATGCTCTGAGTTTTTGTGGGTGGGCAGCCCAAGCCAAAAACTGACCATTATTAGTTGCCTCCAGCCCCAGGTCACCATGATGGCATCAAAATTTTCCAATGTCAAGACCGCTTCCGTGGGTGACAGCTTCGCATGATTGTTGGTGGTGCCCTAAGTACGTGTTTGGTTAACCCACACCAGCTTTGATTGGACTAGTGTGCTCGAGGTAGGACATGTGTCATCTGGGAGAAGATCCCTTAAAGCGGTTTCCTCTACACGTCTTTCTCCACATCTCATCGTGGTAATAAATGCTCTATATAAAAAAAAAGAAAAATCCTATTTGCCTTTCCCACTGACATTTTGAACTTCCATCTCCTCACATTTCTTCTTCTTCTTTTTAGGTTTCGAGGTGGTTGTCTTAAGTTCTTGGTGGTCCGGGATTATGTGTTTTTCGTTCTTTTGTGGTTCCACTCTAGCTTCTGGTTAGGTATGTCCTTTCCTTCCCCTTCTTTTCTTCAATCTGGATCCCTTTAACTCTCTCTGGTGGGGTTTCGAGTTTCGCTTCCTTATTTGGAGATTTATTTACTTATGGAACCATTTTGGTAGTTTTGCGTCTCTTTTTTAATTCGTAGATTATACTCTTATGTTGAGGTTATGTTTACTTAGAACTTGGTGTCTAACTCCCCTATTCCTAACGAATTGTTCTTTACATTTGGCCCCTTTACATTCTGAGCTGCAATTTGGGCTAATAATGGGGAGGGTGGTTTTCGATTTGGAATAGGAGGAAGAAGTTGATGAAGGCACTGAAGAAGTCTCTGAGGCTTCTTCTAGTGGCCATTCCGAGGAAGGGGTGTTCTCTCCTCCGAGCAGGGAAGAGGTCCCCACTACTGGTGATGGTTTAGTTGGGGA